AGTCACATTCTTCTTAACAAGTTCATTAAGAGGGGCAACAAAACTCCGATAGAAGCTTGCTAAGCCATGGAAGCCTTTTACGTCACTTGTATTCTCAAGGGTTGGCCATTCACGAATAGCCTTAGCTTTCTCCTCATTCACACGAATTTCCTGTGATCCGACAATAAATTCCAAAAAGATAACAGAGTCCTTGCAAAAGAAACACTTTTGAAAATTAGCATATAGCTTATATTCCCCCAAAGTGTCAAACATAGTTTTAAGATGATTCATATGATCAGTCAAAGATTTATTATAAATTAGAATATCATCAAAGTAAACCAAACCAAACTTGCCTATAAACTTTCTAAAAACATGATTCATTAATGCCATAAAAGTACTAGGAGTATTAGTCAAATCAAAAGGCATAACTAACCATTCATATAATTCAAATTTAGTTTTAAAAGCAGTTTTCCATTTATCTCCCTTTTTTTTTATACGAATTTGATGATAACCACTTTTAAGATCAATTTTAAAAAAGATAGAAGCACCATGTAAAAGGCTTGTTGTTGTTGTTTGTTTGTTGTTTTATAGAAGCACCATGTAACTCATCAAACATATCATCAAGTCTAGGGATAGGGTAACGATACTTTGCAGTGATTTTGTTGATTGCTCTACAATCAACATACATCCTTCAAGATTTGTTTTTTTTTTTGGCACTAAGATAATAGCGACAGCACAAGGGCTAAGGCTCTCACGCACAAAGCCTTTCATCATTAATTCCTCTACTTGGCGCTGGATCTTCTTAGTCTCTTCAAGGTTAGCCCTATAAGCAAGCTTGTTTGGAATAGCAGCTCTGGGCAAGAAATCTATCCTATGCTCAATTCCTCTCAAGGGAGGAAGTCCATTAGGAATCTCATAAGGGAATAGATCTCCATAATCCTACAACAAAGAGACAACACTAGAAGGCAAAGTAGGGTCAAGAGTGTTAGTAGAAAAATAAATATTCTTGAGAATTACAATAAGAGCTCGCTCACTCATTAAAGCCTCTTGAATCTCACTTTTCCCATACAATAATATTTTCTTTTCATTATTTTCCTTCACTCCCACCATTCTATTTTTTTCTTTTCTCACCTTCTCACCACTCTTTTTCTTCTCTTTTGATTGATTTTCAAGTAAAGTAATACTCTCTTTTTTTTTTCTCTCACTCATGTCACAATTGAGGAGATCTCTTTTTTGCTTGTAATCTTGAGCAATTTTGAGTTGATCTTCATAGGGCTTGGATATGCCTAAGAGGATTTAATACAACAGTCTTACCTTTAAAAGGCATCTTGTAACAATTTCTAAAACCATCATGAGTAGCATTACTATCAAACTGGCAAGGCCTACCTAATAACAAGTGTCCAGCAAGCATAGGGGTTATATCACATAATACATCACAAGTATAAACCCTAACAGAGAAAGTAATCAACACTTACTTAGAAACCCTAATTTCAGCACAATCAATCAACCATTGCAATTTGTAGGGCTTAGGGTGTAGAATTAAAGGTAGAGATAATTTATTTATAAGTAAAGTGCTAGCTACGTTAGTGCAACTACCACCATCAATTACCATGCTACATACTTTCTCTTTGATGAAGCGTCTAGTGTGAAAAATATGCTCGCATTGCTCATGTTCATCATCCTCCTTTGGTTGAATATTGAGAGCTCTTCTTGCCACTAAGATAGAGTCAACTACACCATTGCATTTAAGCTCATCTTTTGATTCATGGGAGGTAGAATCATCATCAACATTATTAGCATCATCTTTATCACTTTCATGCACACTATCATAGCCACTATCATCTCTTAAGATCATAACTCTTTTATTACTACAATCTCTCGTCATGCGGCCCACACCACGACATTTGAAACACTTAATAGGAGAAGTGTTAGATGAATAAGAAGAAGGTTTAGGGTTAAAAATTTTACCCTCATACTTGGTCTTTATTTCTTCCTTGGCCTGGGATGTATCTTTGGCTTTAGAATCCTTCCATTTAAAAGTTGCCTTGGAGTCTTTCTAAGTGAACTTGGAATGTTTCTTCTTATTTCTCTGCTCCAACTTTATAGTCTTGTGTATGAGCTCTTCCTTGTCCACAAAAGTGTACAAGTCGAGCTTATCTCTCAATTCTAACCTCAAGCCATCCATAATTCTTGACATTGCTTCATGTTCATTTTCTTGAATGTTTGCACGAAACTTCAAGATATTCAACTCGTGCACATACTCCTCCATTGTCATAGATCCTTGAGAAAACATGAGCCTTTCTATTAAGCTCTGCGTAGTAGTAGTTGGGGACATAAGCCTTTCTCAAGTACCTTTTAAGCTTTTCCCACGTTTTAATGGGCTTTTTCCCAAGTTGGCCTCTTTTGTATTTTAAATCTTGCCACCAATGAACAATATAGTCAGTGAAATTCAAAAAAGCAGTTTTCACCTTTCTTGACTCAGACAAATCAAGAGTCATGAAGATTTGGTTCATCTTTATTTCCTAATCAAAGTATTTTTTTGGATTGTTACTATCCTTGAATGAAGGATACTTTACTTTTTGGTTCGGTAAGTCAATATCACATTTTGAGGATTTCTTTCCCTTAGGAGAAGGGGGCTCTTCATACTTCTCATCATCGCTGGGGGTTTCACACTTCTTTCCTTTAGAAGAGGAAGCCTCCGGCTCATCTTTATCCTCCTTATGGAACCTATGATCAAGTTCCAAGCGAAACTGCTGCAACTGTATTTTGATAAGTTCTAAAACAGAGTTCATATCAATACTAGGGGATTCATCCTTGTTACTCATGTTTATAGAAGCACTAGAAACCATATAAGATAAAAATGAATCCTCACGCACACAAACTCACGTGTTTACTCTCAAGATAAATAAAGTCACTCGTGTTTCAAAAAAAAAAAATTAATGGCTTTTTTTTTTTTAATGATGAAAAACACACTTGCCTTTTATCACTCACTAAGCTTGTGGATAGTATCTAATGGTGAAACCAAACACAAATCAAGAAACTAAGAAACAACTAAGTACATTTCTTCTAAATTAAAGAAACTAGAAAACAAGCACAAGATGAAAAGAGGATATTTTTGTATTTTGTTTTTTTTTTTGGATTTTGAAACAAATAGGAAAAGTAAAATTTTCAAATAAAATTAAGCTTGCAAAAGAAAAAAATCACATGTGACAAACAAAAATAGGAAAGAAAGAAATAAAAGTCAAAGAGTCAAATACTCAGAGACAAAAATAGGAAGCTAAATAGAATAGGAGAGTAGCACAAATAGCAAAATAGGAGAGTAGAGAATTTGAAAAGTGCTGCCAAAAATTAAAAATAAGAAAGTGACCAAAGTAGAAGACTTTCTTACCACCCAAGTTGACTTTTTTCTTTAGGCAACCTCTTGATGACTTGGAGTTCAAGAATAGCCTTTTTTTTCAATCAGAACTCACAGCAATATATTTTTTTTTGTAATTTTTTTTAATTTTCGGAATTTTTTTCTCTTTTTTTTTCAACACACGAACACATTTTTTTGGCCTTTTTTTTGCATGAATTTTTAGGTTTTTTTTTGCTGAGAAGGCTAATAAATCAAAACTCACATAAGATAAAAAAGTCACAAAGATGGAAGAGAAAAACCAAAAGATAGAAGTAGATGGGGTAGCAAAGAGATGATCACAAAAAAAAAAAATAATAACTCAAGATGAAAAAGAAGAAGAAAGAACAAGAATTTGAACCAAAAGTAGTAACCAAAGCTCTGATGCCAATTTGAAAGGGGACGAGGAAGTAGAATTGTGCTAGTTTAGGGACAGAACCTTGAAACACAACAAAAACATAAGAACAAAAAAAAAAGGGAAGAAATTTATGACGAAAATAAAGAAAGAAAGGAAATAAACAACGGGATAATAATCAAGGATAAGATCTTCTAGAGCATCTGCCTCTAGGAACCTCAACCTTCGAAGACACCACAAGAGTTGATCATGCTCTTGATCACGTCTGTTTCTCATACGAGATGCCACTGTAAAGCTAAGGCTCACAAGAGTTATAAACTCTAAAATGAATAATTTCATTCAACTTCTGTTTTGTTTACAAGAGGGAGCATGTTTAATATATATAGGATCACAGAGAACACTATTTCCTAAATTTAAAACCCAAATTTCCTAATACTAAAAGAAGAAATAATATAAAATAATGAGAAAATATTCAGCCACATAATTTAGGAGATGTGATTCTAAAATTATGGGATTATAAAATTTAGAAATTAATAATATAATTAATTATAATCTTTGACTAGATTCAAAAATAGAAATCAAATCAAAGGACCATTAAAATAGAAAATAATTTAGGAGACAGTCAAGGGATCATAAAGGATTTAAAATCATGCCACCCTTGACTTCTTTATTAGGGTTTCATGCCTCCTTGCTTGCAAGAGGCTCAACTTGCAGTCTTCCTTGCATTGGGTTAAGGTTTGCATCTTTTAGGTTTGACTCTTCATGGATTTGGATCTTAAGCACATTATACACGTATAGATGCTCTCTTTTGGGCTTGAGAGGAGTGTCCCAATGCTCTCTAAACTCTTAGACTTCTTGCACAAGGCTAAACAAGGCTTGCTTAATGGCTTTAGTTCGGGCTCTTGTTATTGGACCTCCAATATGTTGTAATGGGTCTTTAAGTACATTGGATTGGTAGTATTGGGCTCCTTACTCCTTGCCTTGGGCTCCTTCCATGTCACCATGCTCATGATTATCATCCTCAAGCTTCGTTGCCATTAATGCCATGTCATCCGTGCCATGGGGGCCATCACCTAGTGTTGGTGTATTTGTTATGATAAAACCTTCAATTTATTTGGATTTAAGTAGAAATAATCTTGTGATGTACTATGACATTCCCTTTTTTAGGTAATTATGTTTGTGATAATATTTTGAGTAGAATGCCCTACTGCATTTCTGAAGGTTTTTTTTTTTTGTTATAATTTAATATTATTTTGAGACTGCTGGATGGTGTAGGTAAAAGGTGGTTCCATTACTTTCTCGCAGCTTGCTACACAATGGCTTCTGCGATCTAGTGAGATTCTTCAGAATCCTTATTCAAGCGATGCTGTTGTTTCTGTGCTGAGGGAAGCTGAACAGTTTCTTTGGGCCGGTCCTGAGATGAATTCTGTGAGTTCTTGATGTTTTTTGAATTTGGTCCCATTAAATAATGTTTCACACAATTAAGGTTTTTTTGGTTGGGATATAGGTTCGAGATATGGTGAAGAGTTTGATTGAAGCTCAGAAGTGGGCAGAAGGGATAAGAGATTGTTTAAGAAAAATTGAAGCCTGGTTGTGTGATCAGGACTTTGACAGAGAGAAAGTGCACCTAGAATTTGTTGATCAGCTGCTAACATTTAATTTTGCACCATGCAATGAGCCTGCTTATCATAAGTTGAAGGTGTTATTTAAGTTTATTTTTGTTGCCCCTTCCGTATTTTTTTTTTAACTTTAAATAACATGACACCAGGAATATACAGAAGGGGCTGTGTTGTTAAGTCAGGAGATTAATATTGCTTTGTCAAAGTGTTCAAAGGTATTTTAACATAGACTTCTCAACTATATGCCTTTGTCAATGTGTTGTAATCTTGCTAGTTATAAATTACATTCGATGAAATTCTGCTTCTTCTATCTAGTCCACCATTGTAATAAACAATGTTCATTTCAGATGTCTGAGTTGGAATCATTGCATTCTAGAGTTTGTGGCTATCCACTCTACGTGAAGATGTTGAGAATTTGGAAAGGAAAATTTCTTCAACTAAGGTAGAATTTGCCATATAATAATAGCATTACTCATATATTTCTACTTGGGTTTTTTGAACTTTATTTTTATTTATCTCTTTCAATTTTGTTTGGAATTATATAGAAGATTAGGGATTGTTGGGTGTTCTATATCAGAGATTTGTTACATCCAACTTAAACTACCAGGAAAAAACTATGTTTACTTACTAATTTTTTATGCTTTCCCGTTGAGTTGTCTCCTTCTATCTTTCAGAAGAGGGCATTGGGGCTTGCTGTTTTCTGCTGTCAATTCCAAAGAGAAAGAAAACATATTGTGAGTTTATGGATGAAAAGGGGATTGATTTATTCACAGGGAGCAGCGACACATATATAGGAGAGATCAGATCATAATCAGATCACAATCGCATCAAATCTCCTCTGTAATCTGGAAAATAAAAACAGAATAGTAAATTTGATCCTAATCCCTAATAATCTGCTGATAAATAACTAAAGATAATAACAATTAGATCTAGGGTTAGTTTTAGTGAAATTAATGGGCCTAAGGCTTATGGGCCATTTAACCTACTTCCAACACTCCCCCTCAAGCTGGTGAATAGATGTTGATTATTCCCAACTTGCTTATCATTTCATCAAACTTGGCTCTAACTAGAGGCTTAGTCATCACATCTGCAACTTGTCTTCCTAAAGGAATGTAGGCCAGGTTTATGACTTTAGCTTCAATTTTTTCCTTGATGAAGTGCCTATCAATCTCAACATGCTTAGTCCGATCATATTGAATAGGATTGTTTGCAATTTTTAGAGCAGCCATGTTGTCAGACCACATTTTGATAGGAGCTTCCATTTCTATACTAAGTTCCTTTTGAAGTTGTACAACCTATATACTTTCACAAATCCTAAGTGCTAATGCTTTATATTCAGATTCTGTCGATCTTCTTGAAACTATTGGTTGTTTTTGGCTTCTCCAAGTCACTAGATTACCCCACATAAATGTGCAATAACTTGTTGTAGAGCGTCTATCATCAATGGCTCTTGCCTAGTCTGTATTAGTGTAAATCTCTACATTTGTTGTATTGTTTCAGCCCTGAATTCCCTTGTTCCCATCCATATAGATCTCGACACACTGCTTGTTCCCTTTTGAGATGAATAATCCCTTGCCTGGTGTGTTTTTTAGATATCTTAGAGTCCTGTTTACACCTTGCATATGCTCCTTCCTTGTTGTTCTAAATAATTTTTGAAAGTGGAGTTCAAATATTCTCTTCCGTTGTCATTGCGAAGAATTTTAATTAATGTTTGAAATTGATTTTGAATAAACACATGAAAATTTTGAAGATGGTGAGAACCTCAATTTTTTCTCTCATTAGAAAAACCCATGTTAGTCAAGTATGATCATCTACAAACATGACAAACCACCTACATTTGGAGTTTGTTTCAAATTTTAATGGTACCCATATGTCACTACGGATAAGGGAAAAAGGGTGAGTTGGAGTATAAGAATTAAAAGGAAAAGAATGTCGGACTTGCTTAGCAAATTTGCAGTATCCCAATGAAATTCAGAAATTGTTTTATTAGTGATTTAGGAAACAGAATTTCATATATTAAAGGCTTGGATGGCCTAACCTAGAGTGCCATAAGGTAAGGTCAACACTAGTCATGACAGAACAGATAGTAGGATTATTCTTGGATGGAGATCCATGAATATAGTAGAGCCCATGCCATTCCTTAGCATTACCAATCATCTTCCCCAAGACTAAGTCCTGAAATTCACAACCCCTTTTGTCAAAAACTACTAAGCAGTTGGCTTGATTTACTATGCGACTTACAGACAGTAAGCTACATTTAATAGTTGGAACATATAAAACATTTTTTAAGGTAAGATGCTCAGAAATAATTACAGTTCCATTTGCAAATTCACCATTGGATACTTCAACATATTTATGCTTAGAATGTTCATTAAAATTAGAAAAAAGTTCTCTGAAACTGTATGTGATAAATAGCTCCTGAATCTACTACCCAAATATTCTTTGGGTTGGCTTTCTCACTGAGAGTATGAGTAAGGGCAGTACCTAATTGTGCCAAGGTATAGGAGGATGTTTTGGCTCACTCATTCCAGTTGAAGAAGCATGCTTTTCTAGGATTTTTCGGAGAACTGACAACTCTTCAGTACTTAAAGACCCACTTTCAGGTTCTGCATCACCAATCATAAGCCCCTTTCCTTCA